ACTGGTATGATGGAAGATGATCCAATCAACTTCCGTCAAGACATGCAGGATTCCAACTCAAATAAGTGGATTAAAGCAGTGAATGAGGAGTATAAGTCCATGCAAGACAATAAAGTTTTGGAACGTGTCCCATTACCAGAAGGTGTGAAACCCATTGGTTGCAAATGGATTTTTAAGACCAAGCGGGATTCTGACGGTAATGTGGAGAGGTATAAAGCTCGTCTCGTGGCTAAGGGTTATACCCAAAAGGAAGGGATTGACTTTAAAGAGACTTTCTCTCGGTTTCATCGAAAGACTCTTTTAGGACAATCATGCCTCTTGTTGCACATTATGATTTAGAACTCCGTCAAATGGATGTCAAGATGACATTCCTCAATGGCAACATTGATGAAACGATCTATATGGTGCAACCAGAAAACTTTGTGTCAGTAGACTCAAAGAATATGGTTTGCAAACTGACAAAATCCATTTATGGACTAAAGCAAGCGTCTCGTCAGTGGTACCACAAATTTCATGAAGTAATTCTCTCATTTGGTTTTGAGGTGAATGTTGTTGAAGATTGTGTGTATCACGAATTCAGTGGAAGCAAGTACATTTTCCTTGTCTTGTATATCAATGACATACTACTTGTTGCTAATGATATATGCATGTTGCACGAAACCAAGAAATTTCTGTCAAGAAAATTCAAAATGAAAGATCATGGTGATGCCTCCTTTGTATTAGGAATTCAGATACCATGAGACCGATCTCATGGTCTTCTAGGATTATCACAAAGGAGCTATATCGAAAAAGTATTTAAAAGGTTTGGCATGCAGGAATGTAAACCAGGGGATACTCCCAATTGCTAAGGGGGACAAATTTAGTCTTAATTAGTGCCCAAAAGGAAATTTAAAAATTCCAAAAATGTAAAAGATTCCTTATGCATCAGCAATAGGGAGCCTGATGTATGCCCAAGTATGTACGCGTCCGGATATTACATTCATAGTTGGGATGTTAGACAAATATTTAAGTAATCTAGGAATAGATCATTGGAAAATAGCCGAAAAAGGTTATGAGCTATTTAAAGAGAAAAAAATACTATATGCTCACATATAGGAGGTCAGACCAGTTAGAGATTACTAGATAATCTGACTCATATTTTTCTGGATGTCAAGACAATAAAAGATCCACTTCAGGCTATATCTACATGTTGGCTGGTGGTGCAGTTTCTTGGTGCATTGTCAAGAAAACTCTTACAGCTTCATCCACCATGGAAGTAGAGTTTATAGCATGTTATGAGGCATCCAACCATTGGATTTGACTAAGGAATCTTGTTACTGGGCTGCGAATTATTAAAGGAATTGAAAGGCCACTTAAGTTATACTGTGATAATAAATCAGCCGTCATGTATTCCAACAATAATAGGAATTCGACCAAGTCAAAACATATTGACATCAAGTTCCTAGTTGTTAAGTAAAAGGTACAAAGTGGATAGATTTCCATAGAACAATTTGGGACAAACTCCATGATAACATATCCTCTTACAAAAGTCTTTCACCCAAGGTCTTTCATGAGCACAATGCTCACATGGGTGTTTTAACGTTAAAGGAGTCTTTGGTTTAGTGGGAGTTAGTCGCTTATGAATTTTATGTCTTATGTTTTAGTATTATGTATGCATACTATGATTTTGGATAATTTTCAAATTATTTAAGTTTTGATATTCCGCAATTTACATTTTGTATATAAAGTTATTAAGTGATCTCACTAAAGTAATGTAGGATCAGTTGAAAATCAACATATATATAGATCAATTTCATGTAATTTTCATGCTGCACATTTCATGATGGATCTATGTCATTTAGTTATGTCACTATTGGTGATCATTGATGGATTTAGTTATAATTGATATAATGAAAATCACATTGATTCTATATATTGGCATGAATAATGGACGAGATAATTTGGATATTTTTAACGAATATAATGGCAAATTTTGAGCTCATAATGTCTAACACATGTGTAAGATTACATATGTGTTCAGTGGGAGATTGTTAGAATATTTGGGTCACAATTGTAATGTTACATGTGTTAGGGTCATTATGTAATTAGCCAAAGTTGTAGTGGTCTAATTAATAATAAGTGTGTGGCTAAAAACATAAATATCATAAAAAGTAATATTATTGTGTAGATACCATAAGTCAATATCTAATTTGATGAGAGGCCAAATTAGAATATTGAAAACTAAGAAATAACCCTAAGGTTGTTTATAGGGGTTATGATCCCCACTTGTAGACAACGGAAAAAACGGCTTATCAGAAATTCTCTCTTCATCCCCGTCAGAGGAGAATCAATGAGTCATAAGGAACTCTACAAATTTGAAGATCAAATACCCGCAAACATTCGATGATTCTCAATGGCAAATTCAAGTACGCTTCTGCTTTCAATCTCATAATTGTATTCAGGTATGGGTATAAGAGATTAGAGTTTTGTTCTTGATTTCTATATTGATAGAAATTATAAGGTTATGAACAAATCTAACAAATACAATAAACATATAAAACAACCACAATAAATATGATTATCAAATTTGTCTATCTAAAACAATAATGATCATATATTTTATCATATTCAATATTTCATCATACATTCAACTATCTAAATCATAAACACATGTCCAAATTAAATCTAAATAGTTAGATTAATTTAATTATCTTAAATAGACTTTTATCATTTGCATGACATGCAAAATATACATGCATATACTTTAAATAAGGTTGAATTTTAAGTCATAACACTTAAATGCATTTAATAAAATAAAGAAAATAATATTTTCATTTTAAAGATAAATCAAATGACATTAGTTTAAAACATATTAAACTCATTATATGTGTATATATTTATGTAAAAAAATTTAGAGTTAAATGCACTTTATCCCTGCAATAGTAGCGAGTTTTGATGTACTTCCCTTTTAAAAAAAATTCTTTTCGCCTCTTAACAAATATAAATTTCAAAACAAAAAAAAAAACATTTTAGCCCAAGATTCCATTTGAGATGCAGACGTGGCTTGTGACTCAAATGAAATCTTAGGCTAAAAGGTTTATTATTTTGGAATCTATATTTATTAAGGGGTAAAAAGAAGTTTTTTTTTTTAAAAGAGGATAAATCAAAACTCGCTACTATTGCAGAGGTAAAGTGTATTTAACCCAAAATTTTATTAAAGAAAAAATTCAATATTTTATAATCAATATTTATGAAGATATTAAAAATCAAATTTCATATTCAATTTCTTTGTAAATAAATACAAATTTAATTTCATATAAATAAACTACACAATAAATTATACAAACCAAATAAATCCACACTTTATTACATACAACACAAACTTAATTATAACTTTTTTAGACATCAAATATACAAAAGAGACTAATTGCTAGAAGTTACTTATATGCAACAAGATAATGCTTTGTGCAATTGAATTCTTTGCTTGGTTCACCCTTTTCAAGAACATACATTCACTTTTAAAATATCCTGATTTGCCACAATAGAAGCAAGTTCTTCTTTTTCTTTTTCTATGTCCATTTCCAGTTGTCATGGACCTTTTTATCATCTATGTCCATATTATCATCAGACCTATTAGATTTTCCATCTTCTCCAAATTACCGCTAGACTACTAAATCACAAATTGAAAATATTGCTTTCAGTTCATATATATTGTATCCATTACAACATATAGACGTTGGAAGATACACCAACTTAATGTGAAGTTAGCATTCTTTAATGAATCTCTAGAAGGAGAATTTTATGTGAAGCAACCACATGATCAAGTTAAATCAACAAAACACAATAATGGAAACCGAGCTTTATGACTATTTTGATTCAAGTTAGATTTGGTAATCAAGATGATATAAAGAGCACAAGGGGTTACTTGTTTATTCTTAGACTAACACCAATCTTATGGAATTCAAAGTAGTTCTTGGACTAACACCAATCTCATGGAGTTTAAAGTAGTAAGGAATTGTGGCTTTGTGTTCATGTGAGGATCCTATGTTGTATGTTAATCCCTTTGGGTAATTTAACAAATCATCCAATGAATTATGATAAGGAAAAGCACATAGAAAGAATATATGATTTCTTAAGAGAACAAATTGATAAAAAGAGGTTGAGAATTGAGTATTGTAAAATTGAGTTGTAATTGACAAATATTTTGGCAAAATCTTTTAAAAACATACAAAACTTAAAGACCTTAAAAGATTAATGAGAATGAGAAGTTTAGAGAATTTAAATTAGAAAGCAAATAACATATTAATTCTTCTTTAAATATGAATGTTGGTCACATTTTGAAATTGTTGCACTTGTAATATGAAATACAAATTAACATTGTTGCACTTGTAATATGCAACACAAATTATGAGTCACAACTTGACATTTAAATTTGTTAGTCGATTTTAAGCTTTACCAACCATTTTAAAAATCTCTTGTCATTTGTATTCATTTCATTCCAATAACATCTCTCTCAATTGCCTTTAATTCTCTCTACTTCAATTTGCAAAATAACTTAAAATTCTTCCATTTACAAATAACTTGAATCACAAGTTCCCAACAGCCACCCCTTATAAATAAGGAATGTGAAAGCAAATCAGTATCAACATGTGAATAATACTAAAATACAAACGAGTCAAAAATGGTATCCAAAAAAATGTTAACACAATGTTAAGAAAAGCAGAAGAGAAAATGAAAAAGTAGTCACATTCTACATAGTACATAACAAAATTTAACTTATAATTCAAAACCGACATATTTTTGTACAATTATTATAATCATAACCTCAACTTATTTATGTAACGAATCTGAATGCGACTAAGTAATAGTAATAATCCAAAGTCTTACGGCGTTACATTACATCACATCACATCACATTAACAACATTGGTATATTGCTTTAGATAATCCAATTTTTAATAATTAGAATGAAGAAGTAAAAAAAAAATAACGACATTGTAAAAAAAATTGAAGTATAACTAATTAATTCTTCTTTCCTTCTTCTCCACCTTCTTCCAAGTAAGTTTTCTTCCTTCTCTGAGCAGTAGCAAGAACAGAAATCACAAGAAAACACGTGGCATAAATCCCGTGAATCTTCCAATTAGTCTTCGGCGGTTGCCGTAACACCACTTTATGAAACACCGTCATGTAATAATGAAGCCCAACACAAAAGCCCACAAACGTTTGGGCCAGGCCCATGAACTTTGAGCCCAAACCACAATCAGTTGAGAAAACCAAAACAAGGTACATGAGAAGTAACAGAAGGTAGAAAACGTAGGCTAGTGTTTGAATGATCTGCAGGGTAAGATAGGTGGACTGCGAAGTAGAGTAAAAAAACTTCAACGGTTCAAGACCAGTGATCAAAGAAGAGAAACAGAGGATGGAAAAGTAGATTGATAAATAAGCTTGGATGAAGATTAAGAGCTTTTGGAGAGAGAAATAGGCTTTGATTTTGTTGAAGAGAAGCGAGGCTAAGAGTAATGGGAGTAAAACGCAGGTGCATGAGAGGAGAGTTGCGATGGTTGGTGCGTATTTGTTGCCGACGTATGGTTTGAAATTGTTTGTGATTTGTTTGTTGGTTTTTGTTATGTAGGCTTTTGAGGTTGTTGAGATTTTTTCGAGGTCGGGGATTAGTGTTTGTTGGAATTTCTTTGGGAGGTCTTTGAAGTCTGAGACGAAATCGGTGTCTTCATCGTCGAACAACCAACTAGGCGGTGTTTGTTTGTTCGGTTTGTTTGGTTTCTTTGATTGTTGTTGATCTGTTTTTGTGACGGTGGCTTTTGTTGTTTTGTTTTTGGAAACACTGGTACTTGCTTTGATGAGATCCAGTGATTTGGTGGTGGTGGAGTTTGATGTGGAATTTAGTTTCTTGGTCTTGAAGATGGTGGAATTGAGTTTTTTAAGGTTAGTGGTAGTGTCGGTGAGTTTTGTTGTAGGTTTTGATTGGTTTTTGGAGGGGATGTTTGTGTTATTGGATTTGATTGTTTTGGTTTGGTTTTTGGAGAGGTTGTTTGGTTTGATTAACTTGGTTTGGTTTTTGGAACTAGGTTTCTTTTTCAAGGAATGTTCAGATTCTTGTTCTTGTTCTTGTAACAATGTTCTTGTATTAGTATTTGATGAGTGTTTGAGTTGAGGTTGAGAGCATGTAGTGAAGGAAAAGATGGAAAGAAAAAAGAAGGAGAAAAGAAGAGAGATTAGGAGGAGTTTTCTGGTATGGAAGTACAGGAGTGGAGCCATTTTGTGAAATGAAATGAAACGAAACACAAGAACACTATGTGTAGATTAGATGTATGTGAGAGTGTATTGTATGTACACTAATATGATGGGATGGGGAGAGTGAAAAAAGGGGCTGCAGAGTAGGGAATTAGAGGTTAATGGTTTTATAGTTTGTTGAGGAGATAGCACATGAGAGGGAGGTGTAGCAGAGAGTGAGATTGGAAGTATTTATTGCGAAAATGGGGAGGTTAGAGAAAGGTGAGACCCATCACATGGGGCATGGAGACAGAGTATGTATAGTGGTGGAATTCACTATCCAAGACGCGGTTTTACATGTTGTTTACTCCTCCTACTTTTAATGCGTCCGGGGTGTAATCTTTTAGAAATTGGATCCTCTACTGCTATTTTTATTCACCTCTCTCTCCTTTTCCAATCTAATGCTGGTTTATCACACTAACCAAACACTAATAGTATAAAATAGAGAGAGAATAATAGATTCAATGGTTAATAATAAAACGTGATGGAAATATTAGAGAAATGGCATTAGATGATCCAAATCCATTCTTTTCTCATTTGAGATTTGCTAGAAATGTTCACTTTCTTTTTTACATGTATTTGTTTTATTGTGTGTGAGTAATTTATGGAAATTTGACAATTTTTGAATAGACGAGAGTTAAAAATAGTGTTAAAATGATTATCGTGACTTCGAACTACTACATTACTCTTTCTCACTATAAAAATCGTGTTAAGTAGAAAAAGTAACTCCTATTCTTATGCTCTATAAAAATCTAATATCACTAATGTTAAGATTCAAGCTAAGCTTAAGAAAATGTAAAAAATTGAATTTAGTAGGAGAAAGATTGTTCCAGAATTATATTACTCATCATTATGTTTAGATACAAGTGAAGTCGGTTGCTTATATAGCAGGTAATGTCTAACTAACTTGTACATCCATCTAACTATTTGATAATTAACTAGAAGTTAGTTACAATTTAGTTAATCCATCTTATGAATTAGTTAGTTTACATTAATTGTTCCATTATTTTTAACAATTTCCCTCAAACTAGAATGTATGTCAATCATTCTTAACTTTGTTTGAAGGTTACAAAATGAACCAGGATGCAATGATTTGCTGAGGATATCAGCAATTTGTTCTTTGGATGTGACAGACATAAAATGAACAACTTCAGCTAAGACTTTGTCATGCCCCACGTGGAAATCAATTTATATGTGTTTGATTCTCTCATGGAAGACTGGGTTGACAGCTATATGCATTGCGGATTTGTTGACAGCTATATCGAGAAGAGATATGAGCCAGATGCCTTCACAAGTGTCATGAGCCAAAGCTCGATAGTTAGCCTCTGAAGATGATCGAGACACAATAATTTATTTCTTGCTTTTCCAACTGACGAGAGATTTCCGTATGAAGAAACAAATACTAGTGGTTGATCTGTGTGTGTTTGGGCAAGCTCCCCAGTCAGAATCAAAGAATCTCTTGAGGCATAAGTTGGAAGATGAGCTGAAGAATAATCCTTGGCCAGGATTATGTTTGAGGAATCATATGACATGGAGGCCAACTAACATATGTTTGTCAGTTGGAGCATCAAGAAATTGGCGTAGCTTACTTACTTCATAAGAAATCTCAGACCTAGAGTAAGTAAGATACAAGAGCTTGCTAATGTGTCTGTGATATGCAGTGAGATCAGAAATAGGGGTACCAAGTTTCCTGTAGAGTTGTAAGTGGGGTTATATTGGTGTATTGCAGGGCTTTGCACCAATGAGACATGCATCATTGATGAGATCTAAGGCATATTTCCTTTGACAAAGATAAATATCTTGTGCAATTTGAGCAACCTCAAATCCTAAGAAGTATTTCAAAACTCCTTGGTCTTTTATACTAAACTTGGCATTCAAGAGGGCTTTTAGTTGTGTTATTTCATCAACATCAGTTCCTCTTAGAACTAAATCATCCACATAAACAAGGATGACTGTAAAACTTGTTGAGGAAGTCTTGGTAAAGAGAGAATAGTTAACCTTTGATTGAATGTATCCAGTGGAAGTGAGTTTATCAATAAATTTGGTGTTCCATTGTCGACTTGCCTGCTTCAGCCAATACAAGGATATTTGTAATTTGCATACAAGATTAGGATGTGGTAATTCCAAGACATGAGGGGCCTTAATGTATACTTCTTCATTGAGGTTCCCATGAAGAAATGATGTATTGATATCAAGTTGAAAGAGTGGCCATTTATGAACAACAACAATGGCCATGATCAATCGAATTTTTGTCATTTTAACCATATGGTTGAAGGTGTCCATGTAGTCTAAGCCTTCTGTTTGTTTAAAAACCCTTGGCAGCTAAATGTGCCTTGTACCTCTCAATAGTTCCATTGGCATGCATTTTCAGCTTAAAAATCCATCTGCATCCAATGGCTTTCTTTTGTGAAGTTAAAGGGACAAGAGACCAAGTATTGGTCTTAATTAGAGCGGTCAACTCAGTTTGAATGTGATCCTTCCAATTGGCATCTCAAATTATTAACTCATATGATTAAGGTTCACTTTTGGCAGATAAGTTTAAAGTAAAAATTTTGTGTGCAAGAGAAAGTGCATCATATGATAAGAATGAAGATAAAAGGTACTTACATTGAGAAGATGAATTGGGAACAACTGCTTCTGAAATGGGGATTGTATTAGAGAGAAAATTACAATGGTAATCTTGTAGATATGTATGAGTTTTAGTATGTTTGGTTGATTTTCTAATAGGTAAGGGATCTTGAGGAGTAGGATTATCATCAGAAGCATTGTTGTTTGCAGATCGATGATCTGAGACAAGTCGTGATATAGGTACCATGGCAGGTGAATGCGAATCATGTGGAGAAGATGTAACAAATGTATTATGATGACTGGAAGGAGAGGTGATATGAGGAGTATGTGTGTATTATGGATTTAAGAGGTCATATAGGCAAGTAGGGTTATAAATCTGAGCCTTAGTACTAGGGTTATGAGTATCAATGGATGGTTATTTATATGGGAAATGGTGTTTAAAAAGGATACATCTCTTGACACAAACAATTCCTTGCCGTGCAAGTCAAATAAAAATGTTCCCAGGTTTATAGCCTAAGTATATGCACTTTCTAGATCTAGAATCTAACTTTTTTCTGTGAGCTTTTAAAGTAGAAGAAAAACATAATGAACCAAATACTTTTAAATTTGTAATGTCAGGTAATCTATTGTACAAGATTTGGTAATGTGACTTGTTCTTTAAGAAAATGGTAGGCAGTCTATTATGATGTGAACTGCATGACCAACAACATGAGCCCAAATAATATGAGGTAATTTAGATTGAAAATAAGATGCACTACGCCAAACAAGACTTTAGACAACGTTTTTTTGACTTTAGACAACACTTTAAAGCGTTGTCTATTCCAGCGATGTTGTAGGTAAAGACAACGCTTTGTTAAAAGTAAAAGTGCTGCTAAATCCCCTCTTTAGGCAACCCTTTTACTTTGAAAGCGCTGCTAAAGGCCCCCTTTAGCCAGCGCTTTTACTTTTAAAGCGCTGCTAAAGGCTCCTTTAGGCAGCGCTTTTTTTAAAGCGCTTCTAAAGGCCCCCTTTAGCCAGTGCTTTTTCTGAAACAATTTTTTTTTTAAAAAGCCCCTTTAGCCAGCACTTTTAATGTTAAAGCGTTGTCTAAAGCCCCCTTTAGGCAACACTTTTTTTAAAGCGCTGCTAAAGACCCCCTTTAGCCAGCGTTTTTTTCTGAAACAAAAAAAAAAATTATAAAAAAAGCCCCTTTAGGCAGCGCTTTTAATGTTAAAGCGCTGTCTAAAGCCCCCTTTAGGCAGCACTTTTTTTAAAGCGCTGCTAAAGGCCCCCTTTAGCCAACGCTTTTTCTGAAACAAAAATAAATAAAAAAAGAGCCCTTTTAGGCAACGCTTTTACAGAAAAAGCAATGTCTAAATGGGGCTTTAGACATCGTTTTTTAAATCGCTGTCTAATGTCAACGAAATTTTTTATATAACCTTTTTGAAAAAAAAGCTCTGTTTGATATATACAATTTTATATGCACATATTTTAACCATATTTGCACCAGGTTTTCACCATATTGTGTACCTGTATATACCATTACAAATTTCACCAGATTTTCACTAATATTGGAGCTTCAATCTAATAAAAAATAATACCAAAAAATACTATACATTTGCACCAATGTACTTATATATACTAATATTACTCTTGTACATATATACTTTTACAAAAAAACAACACCAAAACAACACCATTATATACAATTACAAAATCTATTCATCTCTATCTTTTACATATGCACATATAACCTGAAACAACACCAAAATATCGTAATTCATACCATGATACAAAGAAAATATATATAATTTACCACATGTCAAACAACAACAAAATTGCAACACTTGAATATACTCAAAATTCTCATCAATTAAAGTAAGATTACAATATACCTTATATAACTTTCGTCTCAATAATGTATTGACACCAATCCTCCTTAAGTTCATCCAACTGAGAACTTGAGTAATAAGCACACTTGAATTCATCAAAGTACTACATAATAATATAACATAGTATGTTTAAGTTAAAACTATTTAATTATATGAGAAATATGTGTTAAATATTAAAATAACTCCTAAGTTAGAAATCCATACTGTTGTACCCCAAAATTTTCCCTCTCACTTATCAAGAATTTGCTCACAAGGTCTCTGTAGCTCAAGACTGCACTAGAGTTTGATCAGCTCAAGACACCTCCTTGAGCATTGATGACCAAAATTAGGGTTTGAGATTGCACAGGGATTTTGGGACTTCTAATGCCCCATATGACTTTCATGGATCATTATGGACCCCCAAGATTACTCATGTCAAGTTTCAAGCCTTGGATTACATTTCTGATCAGTCAATTGAGCAGTTGACCTAAAAATCAATTATATTGGGGAAAAAGTCAACCATGGCCAATTTACAGTCAAACTTCATAATTTTTTATCCACGTTAAC